ACTGAAGCATTTCATTTCTGTGATACTGCTGATACTGTTGTAAAATGTGAAGCTATTGTACTTTTAAAATTTCAAATTCCAACTGTTGATTACTAATCTATACAAATATGATTGATTTTGTATTCTGGCTGTGTATCCTGAGACTTTGCTAAACTTATTTATTGGCCTATGGGATATTTCGTAGATTCTTTGAAATTTTCCATATAACTGACATTACCTACTAACATTAAACAGGCCCCAGTGACCCAGAAACTTTAGTTCACTGGCATAGTTGCAACACACATGAGTGCTTATGACCATCAAAAGGCATGCAAAAGGTTGTTCATGGCAGTTTGAATTGTGATAGCCCCAAAGGGAACAGCTCAAGTGGTCATCAACAGTAGAGAGGATAAGTAGGTTGTGTGTTTATGTGATAGAGTACCGTGCAGCAGTGGGAAAGAGTGAACCTTTGGGACGTGCTACAGCATGAAGGACTTTCACGGCATTGTGCTGAGCCAAACAAGCCAGACAAAAGAGGACACAGTGTTTAATTCCATTTTTATGAGGTTCAAAAGCAGAGAAAATTATGTAATTAGAGATCAGAACGGCTGTCATCCTAGGAGCAGAGCATTAACCGGGGAAAGGCAGAAATTAGCCCCTTTGGTTCTGAGAACGTTTCAGTCTTGACCTGGGTGATAGTTTCATGGCAGTTTTCATATGTGAGAATCACTGAGCTGTTGAGGTAGTATTTGTGCATTATGGGTGTGGATAGATGAGATGGGATGAGATTGTCTCCTGTGGAGACAGTGAGCTCTGAGGTGGTGGACCCTGGAGAGAGGGGCAAGAGCAGCTCCCTGGGGGCACCAGCATTTAAATGGAATGAAAGACAGGGCCCGACACAAGTGTCTGGGTAGGAATGATCTGAGGCATTTGGAAAGAACAGAGGTTGCCACATGTCCTAGACATTAAAGGAAGAGGAGCTTTCAAAGAAGAAAAGGGTTACACTTGGACCATCACTGATAAGGACCAGAAAGTGTCCATCAGACTTGGAGACACCATTGCCAGCAATTAGATGCAGTGCTGGGTGCAGAGGCATGATTGCAAAGGGATGGAGGACAGCACAGGCAGAGACAGTGAGTGCAGAGTATGAGTTTAAAAAACGTTCATGGGGAGTGAGTGAGAGATATAAGCAGGCTACAGAGATGTCTGGGCTTTGCACACCTTTGAAGCCTGAAGAGAATGAGTCAGGAAGGAAGAGAGGTCAAAATTAAGTAGAGGGACAATGCTTGTTGGCAGGGAGTCCTGAAGGAGCCCACACCCAGCATAGGGTTGAGTCTTGAGCAGGTTAGGGACGATTCATCCCAGGAAGATAGAGGAAGGAGGTAAAGATGGAAGTACCTGATGGCCCCACGTTTTTAGCAAAATTCATGATGACCTACTCTGCTGATGGCGAGGCAGTTTGGGTAACTCATTTCAGTTCGGCCAATCTTCAGCATCCACCAGGTGCCAGGAACAGGGCTACAGAGACAACAGAGATGTGATCTCAGTCCTTGAGGAAAGTGCATGTGCATACACACACACACACACACACACACACACACACACACACACAGAGTTACCATTCATGTAACATGGGAGATGCATTGCTAGGAGTATCCACGGTGGGGAGAAGACATGCAGAAAAGTACGTAGATTTGTCCTGGAGTTGGATGCAGGGACTGTGGGGGTGGGGGGTAGGGCAGAGGGAAACAAGATGAGGTGTAGCCAGCAAGCTAGGAAGGAGGTTCATTCTAGGCACTGTTGCAGACTTGTTACAAGAGGAGCACTGGATTCCTGGGACAAGGGAGGGACTGCGATTGTCCAGAGAGAGGGCCAACATGGCCAGACTTCTCTGGGTTTGGTCTTATTAGCCTCACCATAAGGATCACCCTTCCTGAGCCTGAGGCTGAAGCACAGTTAGAAGCCCTTTCCAGGGGCTCTGATAAACTGCTTGGTCTGAGGCTGGAACAGTTATTTGCAGAGAAGCCATCGTGGGCAGGGAGAGCATGGAAAAGGTTAATGGACTGAGAGCCAGAAATGTCAGGGCCTCTGCCTAGGGTGCATTCATGATTCAACCTGGTGTGCTCTTGATTGTGGGAGAGTTCTAGGTAAGAAAGGCATATTCCTTCTCTTTGCTCTAATTTTTCATGTAGGTTTGGTTATTCTTATAGTTAGTTTCCATGTAGAAATTTTAGAATCACTTGTCCAGCACTATAAAAAAAATCATGTTAGGATTAAGAAAGCATTGAGTATATTGGCTATATTGCGTAAGAATATTTATGTTAAAACTTCTTATCCATGAACATAGTAGAGTTCTCCATTTACTCAGTTCTTTTTTTTTTTTTAATATTTATTTTTGAGAGAGAGAGTGTGAGTGGGGGAGGGGAAGAGAGTGAGGGGGCCAGAGGATCCAAAGTGACAGCAGTGAGCCTGATATGGGGCTTGAACTCATGGAGTGAGATCATGACCTGAGCTGAAGTTGGATGCTCAACTGACTGAGCCACCCAGGCACCCTACTCAGTTCTTTTCTGTATTTCAATAGCATTTAAAATTATATTTCTAAAGATATTGCACATCATTTGTTATATTCATATATATTGAAGAGCTTATGATATTTTACTTTTTAAACATGAAACAATACATTATAAAATAAGACAAGAATAGATAAATAGCACGACGAGACAGAATAAGACTCTAGAAACACCAACTTATGTATATAGGGACACTTGGTTTATGACAAAGGTGACACTACATAGTGGGGGAAAAACGTATATGTGTATGTATATTAAAAAGGTCAGTAGGGGGGGTGCCTGGGTGGCGCAGTCGGTTAAGCGTCCGACTTCGGCTCAGGTCATGATCTCGCGGTCCGTGAGTTCGAGCCCCGCGTCGGGCTCTGTGCTGACGGCTCAGAGCCTGGAGCCTGTTTCAGATTCTGTGTCTCCCTCTCTCTGACCCTCCCCCGTTCATGCTCTGTCTCTCTCTGTCTCAAAAATAAATAAACGTTAAAAAAAAAAGGTCAGTAGGATAACCATATGGAAAAAAACCCCGAAATAACCCCTACATCACAAAAACCACAAAAAAGTTAACTCCTTGTGGATTACAGATACTAATATAAAAGACAAAGGAAGAAAACTTCTACTAGATAACACAGAGAAATATCTTTTTGATCTAGTATGGGCAATAGTTCTTTAAACATGCCATAGGATAAAGTAACCATGAAGGAAAGGGTTGGTAAATTAACTTTACTGAGTAAATTTAAGAACTTCTGATAATCAAAAAAAAATTTTTTTTAAATCAATACAAGTACAAATGTGGAAGCTACAAAGAGGGCGAAGATATTTGCAAATCCTAAAACTGATAAAGGGCTCCTATCCAGAATATAGAAAAAAAATTCTACTATCAATATGAAAAAGAAAAACAATACAGTGTAAGAAATGAGCAAAGCATATATACTTCCCCAAAAAGGACATCCAAATTGCTGCTAATTATATGGTAATCTGGTCAGCCCTTTGGCCACATATCATGGTGGCTTCATGCCCACCAGAATGGTTAAAATTGGTGAGACAGACAGCATGACTTATTCGTGATAATATGCAGCAACAGGAACTCTTGTGCACTATTTCTGGGAACAAAGATTGCTGTAACATTTTTGGAAAACTTGAGTTATCCAAAAAGATGAGCAAGTCCACTAAGAATGCCCAACAGGAATTCACTCACAGCAAAACAAACAAAACAAAACAAAACAAAACAAAACAAAACATGTAAAAGAATTTCGTAGCAGCAGTTTTCTAAAAAAGCCAATAACTGGAAACAACCCAAGTGTTCATCAGCAGTAAGATGGACAAATAATGGTGTCTCCATATAATTACATTTATACATTAGTGACAATTAACAAACTCCTACTATATACAGTCACAAGGATTAATCTCACAAAGAGAATATTAGTAGGGAAAAAAAGTCACAAAAGAAGGAACGCTGTGTGGTTCTATTCATAGGAAGTTCACGGCAGGCAAAACCAATCTGTGCATCAGAGGCAGGATAGGCGTTAACTAGAAGGGGGTAGGAGGGCTGTTGTGGAAACTGGGTAGGTTTCTTTTCTTGACCTGGGTGGTGAACTCCCTGAATGGATGTGATTTGAGCATTTTTCCGTAGATAGATAAAAATTATATCTATCTGTTTGTACTTCATGTCTCTCGACCTGTGACTAGGAAGGTAGATGTCCTGGCTAGAGCTCTGGGTCGTCTTTTCTAGTGACAGTGTCTCCCCTGCTTGGTACCATAAAGCAGAGCTCAAGGGATCTTCTTCCCTGAATGAAACCAGTACATTTGCCTCAAACCAGCAACCTGGCTCCTCTGTAAGAGACGCCCTGTAGTCAGACCTGAACCACTCCAGCCAAACCTACCATAGGGAGTGCCTTGGCCTTGCATTAAATGATTGTTTTAAACAGGTATCTCCGGCGATGGTGTTGAGGACAGGCTGATGAGAGGTAAATGGGGACAGGTGCCCCTTTTGGTTAATGCTCGTGTCTGGCCAACAAGAGACAACAAGGCCCTGCATCTGGAGGACAGGAGGGTGGAGGTGCTGTGATGCAAACATTTTTTTCTTCCCAGTTTGATCAAGATGCACAAACATTTGACTTCTTTCCTGCTGAATCCCATGGATCGCCCAGAGAACCATGATGCCACCCCTGTCTTGATGCCCAGAGATTGCTCTATATTCATGTGATTCATGTTATGCTCCTTCCTTGAACATTTAGTTTGGGGTGAAGAACATCCTTATTTGTCTATACATTTCAGACTTAGTAAACATGTGGTCCATTAAACACTTTCAAGCAACATTGATCGAATGCGTAAATGAGTGAATTTCTTAACACATCTAATTCCTTCTGGAAGTGGAAGAGGTTTGAAGGGGTCCTCACATTTCAGTGTCCCTCTGAGGTCTCCATCCAACCTGTAGGACACTGTCTCCCACCAGCACATCCTTCATGTGACCATGTGTCTCTGGCCCAGCCTCCGCAGGGCCTCCTTCACATCCTTGTTTCGAAGACTGTAGATGAGAGGACTGAGCATTGGGATGACCAACATGTAGAAGACAGAGACCACCTTGCCCTGTTCCATGGACTCAATGGCTCCTGGCTGGGCATCCATGACAAAGACAGTCCCAACAAAGAGAGTCACTACAGTCATGTGGGAGCCACAGGTGGAGAAGACCTTGCGTCTCCCAGCTCCTGAGCGCATTCTCAGGATGGTCACTGTGACGTAGCCATAGGAGATGAGGACTACAAATGTCACACCCACAGTGATGAGCCCACAGATGCCAAACGAGAAGTTCGTTGATGGCTGTGCTGCCACAGGCAAGCTGGAGCAGAGGGGACACGTCACAGAAGAAGTGCTTGATGCAGTTGGAGCTGCAGAACGGGAGGCGGAATGTGAGGCTGGTCTGCACAGCAGAGCTGAGGCAGCCTCCACGGTAGGTGCCCAGCACCAGGTGAGTGTAGGCAGAGTGGCACATGGTGATGGGGTAGCACAGGGAGCTGCAGACGGCCATGAAATGGTCACAGGCCATGACGCCCAGGAGGAAGCCTTCAGTGGCGACCAGTAAGGAGATGAAGAATAACTGGGTGGCACAGCAAAGGTGATGACCTTGGGTGGGGAGAAGAAGTTGGCCGGGGCATTGGGGGCAATGACAGATGAGGAAGAAGAGTGCAGGCGGGCATCCAAGGTGATGACCATGATAATAGTGAGGTTCCCCATCACAATTACCATGTACAGGTTCAGGAAAACAGCAAAGAGCAGAGCCTGGGTCTCCAGGCCACCCTGAAATCCCTCCAGCACAAAATCTTGAAAGTAGACCATGGGGAGGCTCCCATTTCTGTGCAATGGCATGAGCCTCAGTCCTCACCAGGGGAATTACACCTTCTGTACTGGCAGACTAAGTAAGTCAAACTAAACTTCTTGCTGAAGACTGTTGAGAAAAGATAGACAACATGGCGTGCCTGGGTGGCTCAGTCATTTGAGTGTCCGACTCTTGATTTCTGCCCAGGTCATGATCTCATGGTTCATGGGTTTGAGACCCACATCAGTCCGTGTGCTGACAGCTCAGAGGCTGGAGCCTGCTTGGGATTCTCTGTCTCCCTCTCTCTCTGCCTGCTTAAGCTCTCTCTTTCTCAAAAATAAATAAACATTTAAAAAATGATAAACAACAACAAAAACAAAATCTAATTGAAGGTAGAAGAGACTTAATGATTTAGTAAAGAATTACTAAAGAAATTCAAGACAAACACACAGACCCAGGGATTCCATTACTGAGAATGTCTTTTTTCCCTTGAGACACAAGCCAGTTTTAAAGAGGAAGTCTGAGAGACTTGGTGCCAAGCAGTGGGTTTATGCCTTGTGGAACTAATGCGGACAGTGGCTAGTTATTAGGACCACCCAGGATGCACCATTGGAGTGAGTTAAATAGAGAGTAGGTATGCATCTCAACTTCTGACCATTTCAGTCACTGAAATTTTGTTATGGTGAGATCTGAGTGCTGTGCCTCTGACACCTTGCAAAAGCAAATATATCTCAAGAGAAGACATGTTATGCTAGACCTCAAGTGTTATCTATAAAAGTTTTGCATAAAAACTGCCAGACACACAATTTAAAAATTGAGGAGTTCCCACACTATGAATTAAAATAACAGAAACAATAGAAAAACCCAGAAAGATTTCAGATTTTGGCATTAACACACATAAGCTTTTAAATAATTAAGATTATTATGTTTAAAGGATAAAAGATGAGAATTTTAGCAGAAATGTAGAAGTAGTAAAGAGAATCATGTGTCACTTGTTACAAGTACAATGGCTAAAATTAGGAACTGAATGAATGACTTTTACAGGAGATTAAGAATAGCTAAAGAGGGGCGCCTGGGTGGCGCAGTTGGTTAAGCGTCCGACTTCAGCCAGGTCACGATCTCGCAGTCCGTGAGTTCGAGCCCCGCGTCGGGCTCTGGGCTGATGGCTCGGAGCCTGGAGCCTGTTTCCGATTCTGTGTCTCCCTCTCTCTCTGCCCCTCCCCCATTCATGCTCTGTCTCTCTCTGTCCCAAAAATAAATAAACGTTGAAAAAAAAATTAAAATAAAAAAGAATAGCTAAAGAGAGGGGCACCTGGGTGGCTCAGTCGGTTGAGTGTCCGACTTCAGCTCAGGTCATGATCTCATAGTTCCTGAGTTAGAGCCCCGCATCAGGCTCTGCGCTGACAGCTCTGAGCCTGGAGCCTGCTTCAGACTCTGTGTCAGCCTCTCTCTGCCCCTTCCAGGCTCATGCTCTGTCTCTGTTTCTCTTTCTCAAAAATAAATAAACATTAAAAAAAGTTAAGAAATAGCTAAAGAGAAAATTTGGGAACTAGAATACAGATCAGTAGAAAATACTCAGATTGAAGCATTAAGATATAAAAGGATAGAAAAATTAGAAATGAAGGTTAGAAACCAAAGATATAGAGACATACATAGTATGAGTTCAAACCCCCTCCCCCCTCCCACACACAAGAGGAATGAGATAAATAGGCTGAATCAGAACTTGGAAGAGATAATGGCCAAGTATGTTCTCAAACCAGTGAAAGATATTTTACAGATTCATTAACCCTCCAGACTGAAACCAGGATTTTTACGAAGAACACCAGACTTAGACACAGCATAATAAAAATATTTAGAACCAGAATAAAAAGAAGAATCTTAAAAGTATCATGAGAAAGAAGAGATAGTTGCTTCAAAGTATCAACTTTAGAAGACTGACAATTGGCTTCTTACCAGATTAAAAATAATGTAAAGTAAAAGAAATTATATTTTCCTTTGCTCAAAGAAAATAATTACTAACTAGAATTATACATCTACCCAAAAATATCCTTCAAGACTCAAAGTGAATTTAGCAATAATAGTTTAAGACTTAGGGGGCGCCTGGGTGGCTCAGTTGGTTAAGCATCTGACTTCGGCTCAGGTCATGATCTCATGGTTGGTGGGTTCAAGCCCCGTGTCGGGCTCTGTGCTGACAGCTTGGAGCCTGGAGCCTGCTTTGGATTCTGTGTCTCCCTCTCTCTGTTCATGCTCTGTCTCTCTCTGTCTTTCAACAATAAATAAATGTTTAAAAATTTTTTAAAAAGACTTAAATACTCCACTTTCAATAACAAATAGAACAACAAAACTAAATATCACCAAGGAAAGAATAGATTTGAACAACATTATAAAGCAAATAGAGCTAACAGGTATATGTAGAACACACTTTATCCAACAACATCAGAAAACATTCTTTGCCAGTGCACATGGAACATTATCAGGATAGTTATCCATATTACCCATATATTAGTACACAAAGAAAGTCTCAATAAATTTTAAAAGGCTGAAATTATACTAAGTATGTGATCTAAACAAAATGGAATTAAATCACAAATCAAGCAATTGAGAAAATTTACAAATAACGTGGAAATTAACACATTTATTAATCACCATGGGATAAAATAAGGAATCACAAGGGAAATTATAAAGTATTTTGATATTAATGAAAATGGAAACACAACATACCAAAACTTACAGAATTTAATGAAAGAAGGACTCAGAAATTTATAGCTCTAAACACCAACATTAAAAAAAAGACCTCAAGGGGTGCCTGGGTGGCTCAGTCGGTTAAGCATCTGACTTCGGCTCAGGTCATGATCTTGCGGTCTGTGGGTTCGAGCCCCACGTTGGGCTCTGTGCTGACAGCTCAGAGCCTGGAGCCTGCTTCAGATTCTGTGTCTCCCTTTCTCTCTGACCCTCCCCCGCTCATGCTCTGTTTCTGTCTCAAAAATAAATAAACATTTTTAAAAAATTAAAAAAAAAAAGACCTCAAATCGGGGTATATGGGTGGCTCAACCAGTTGAGCATCTAACTCTTGATTTCGGCTTAGGTCATGATCTCATGGTTCATGAGATCAAGCTCCCCATAAGGCTCCGTGCTAACAGTGCAGAGCCTGCTTGGGATTCTCTCTCTCCCTCTCTCTCTGCCCCCTCCCCTGCTCACACACTCTCTCTCTCTCTCAAAGTAAATAAACTTTAAAAAAAAGGACCTCAAATCAATAACGTAAGTTTCCATATTAGACAAGAAAGTAGAAAAAGAAGACCAAATTAGCTGAAAGCATATAGAATGAATGAACTAATAAAGATTAGAGAAGAGATAAATGAATTGAGAAGAGTAAAATAATACAGAAAATCAATGACACTAAAAGTTAGTCCTTTGAAAAGTTTAACAAACTTGACAAACCTTTAGCTAGATTGACAAAAAAAAAAAAAAAAAAAAAAAAAAAAAAAAAAAAAAAAAAAAAAAAAAAGAGAAGACTTAAATTTCTAAAATCAGGAATGAAAACGGGTATTGCCTCTGACTTCACAGAAATAAAAAGTACTATAAAAGTATATTAGAACAATCATATGCCAACACATTTAGATAACTTAGATGAATAAATTCCTGGAAACACACAAACTAATAAAACCAAATTAAAGAGAAATAGAAAATCTGAACAGACGTATAACAAACAGATGAAGTCAGTGGTGAAAAAACTTTTCCAAAAAAGAAAAGCTCAGGACCAGATATTTTCACTGGTGAATTCTACCAAATACTTAAAGAATTAACAACAGTACTTCTCAAACTCCAAAAAATAGAAAAGAGGAAAACACTTCCCAATTCATTCTATAAGGCCTGTTGTTCTAAAACTAAATGGAGACAAAGATGTTACCAAAAAAATGAAGCTATAAGCCAATATCTCTTATGAATATAGATACAAAAATCCTTAACAAAATACTTACTAACAAGCGAAATCCAGCAGAACATTAAAGGGATTATACAGCAAAACCAAATCAACCCTGGAATGTAAGAGTGGATCAACAAACAAAAACCAATTAATATAATAAACCATACAAATGGAATGAAAGAAAAAAAAACCCACATTATCATCTCAATAGATGCAGAAAAATGACAAAACACTACTGAAAGAAATGGAAGAAGACCTACATAAATGTAAAGATATTCCATGTTCATGGACAAGAAGACTTAATAACTTTAAGATGCAGTAACCCCCAATTTTATGTACAGATTCAGTGCCACTTTATCAAAATTCCAATTGCCTTAGGGTTTTTGGGGGGCAGAAATTGACCCTAAATAGCCAAAACAATATTTAAAAAGAAGAAAGTATCCATTCATCAGTTGATGGACATTTAGGCTCTTTCCATAATCTGGCTATTGTTGAAAGTGCTGCTATGAACATTGGGGTACAAGTGCCCCTGTGCATCAGCACTCCTGTATCCCTTGGGTAAATTCCTAGCAGTGGTATTGCTGGGTCATAGGGTAGATCTAGTTTTAATTTTTTGAGGAACCTCCAGACTGTTTTCCAGAGTGGCTGCACCAGTTTGCATTCCCACCAACAGTGCAAGAGGGTTCCCGTTTCTCCACATCCTCTCCAGCATTTATAGTCTCCTGATTTGTTCATTTTATCCACTCTGACTGGTTTATAGACACAATGGAATACTACTTTGCAATGAGAAAGAATGAAATCTGGCCTTTTGTAGAAACGTGGATGGAACTGGAGAGTGTTATGCTAAGTGAAATAAGTCATACAGAGAAAGACAGGTACCATATGTTTTCACTCTAATGTGGATCCTGAGAAACTCAACAGAAGACCAGGGGGGAGGAGAAGGGGGAAAAAGTTACAGAGAGGGAAGGAGGCAAACCATAAGAGACTCTTAAAAACTGAGAGTAAATTGAGGGTTGATGGGGTGTGGGAGGGGAGGGCAGAGAAGGGTGGGTGATGGGCATTGAGGAGGGCACCTGTTGGGAGGAGCACTGGGTGTTGTATGGAAACCAATTTGACAATAAATTTTAT